GAGGACACGCTTGAGACAATTAAGCATGAGCAAGTTGAACAAAAGAGCGTGTTAAAGTTCTCAAACAAAAGCTCCGTGCGAAAAAGCACAACACGCTTTCAGTGTGCGCAAAAGCAGCAAGGCATGTTATCTATAAGCTAAATAAATTTCCTGTACAAAAAGGAACCGTAAATGATTATGAACGGCACCCTTTTTTGGTAATTATCGAGAAAGAAAAAGTTATACCTCAGCGATCGCAGCGATAGTATCTGATTGAAAAAATGTTGTCGCTTGAAAAGAATAAACAGTGAACGGTGTGACCTACTGGATTTATGGGTAGAACTATATTAGCATTGGAAAATCAAAGTTCTTTCCAGAAATGTTTACTGAAGAAGCTGTGCAAAGGTTATCTTAACTTTCCTTAAGTTAAAACACATTTGCAATTTTCTCAGAAACAGTGATCTTTCGGACTTAAGACACTTTCTTGCCGATCGCAGCAATCGCGATCAAATATAATAGAAATCATCAAGTGCCAGGATCACTAAATTGTATTTTTTTTTTAGCAATTGCAAGGATCGCAGTGATTAAATGAAAACCAGCCTGCTTTTCTAGATGTACCAAAATTCCGAAATGGTTTCAACGTTGCTTAATTGATCTGGCCGACAATAACACAAAAAGCGAAACCGGTATTTAAACAATGTATGCAAATTTGTTCTTCTTGAAATATTACACTTCGCGTATGCTTCAGCCTTATTGTCCAAATTCCGTAATCATACTGTTTTCTTTCTTGTAATTGCCGTCTGGTTTACAACCATCTAAACAAACACTCGTGTATGAAGTTACGGCCACCGATTTACCGCCATCAGCCGGTATTACCGCCTACAATTATTTAAATGTCTTAAATAGTCTGCTACACGGCCGTTTTAGTGTCGTCACGCAACGCTCCTTCCACTGAAAACGGCTGTGTAGCAGACTATTATTTAAGCGGTCACTGAATTAATTCATCCAGCTCGATCTAGAGGGGTGACGGTCAAGCTACTCGAAAGTGATGTCGTTTGAAGTTATGTCGTCCAAAACCTGATAATATGAGTTTTGACGCCTAAAATTCAAAGAAAAGTCGCCCGCAATCCTCTCTCATTCTACAGTGTTTTCAGTTTACAGATTCTTGTTTTTTCGTCCTGTGAAGAACGAGATATAGTACACGTTAACAGCGCTTGATTCGTCTTAGCATAGCATAACGAGATATCTTCACATAAATTATGATTGATAGCGCTTCATTCGTCAGGGGACCTGACGGCAATTTCCTCCTAAATGCATCCTAGCATCCCAGGACAACTTCAGTGTTTTCGAAATTACAAGCTAGCTGGGCTTCAGCATTATTTTCCCGAAAAATTTAGCTTCCAATTGAAAGTTTTAGGAAAGTGAGAATTTTATCGTATTTTCGGTTCTGAAAATTTTAGGATTCCTTAATTCTCTACGAAAAATAGCTTAACTTGGGGAATGAAATGGAAAAAATTAAACTTCAGAAAATTGTAAGGGATTTATTAGATAACCTTCGAAAATTGTACATGCATGGAACGGTCATCTAGAAATGTTTAGCCTTCCTCAACCTATAGAAAATTCTAGGCAGTTTTTGTTTCTCCCATTTAATTACCTTCGTTCATCTCAGCATGGCTTAAAGAAATATATTAAACTAATTAATTCAACTTCATTTTTCTGTGTATTACTGCTAATAAATATTCCGGTGGCATAACTATAATTTCATATTACATAACTTCAGTGCCTCGCATGCGATAGCAGGCCTCTTTGCGATTCCGGTCAACAGCCGACAGCCGGAGGAATTGGTTTACACTGATCTCGCGTTAATTCCAGGCTAGACCACCATTAAGTAGTGATTTTCAAATGGCCACAGTTACGATCAATTTCCAAAACAGTCTCAATTGGTGTATTTGATACACTTCGACCAGTTATCAATGCTGATTAAATCCGCTGAAAACCCAAGCCATTTAATATCATCTTAGCAGTTTTAGTAATCAAGCGTGTTCAGCGTGTCTTACCCAAATGGCACGCTAACCGTGCTATAATTCGCACACTTACCGTGACATATGGCACACTACAAAAAACAAAAGGTCTAGCGTGTTAAATTTGCCAAAGCAAAGGCAAGTGTGTCCGTCTTTGTTTTTTCAATTTAATATGTGTGTATCCATGATCTACGGCACGCTAAGTGTGTCGTGCAAGCGTGTCGTGCAAGCGTGTCGTGCTCGTGCTTTTACCTTTAGCATCAAATTCCTGTGGAGGGCCACAAATGAATCCATTTATTGTTGCTGCAAACAGTATGACATTTAAATCTGCATTCCTGCATGGGTGATAAGCATTTTTTTTAAAGATTACTACTCTGTATTTAGTCATATTCAAAAATTTTGGATAAAATTGCTCTGAAAACATTTACATCAATTTCAAGAAAACTGAGCTTGATAGAAATTTCATGACCACCTTGCATGTAAATTCACTGTTCATCGCATATGCAGGATTGCAGAGATGAATGTGAACTCTACAACTATCAACGGATTCAACATTTAAATAATTATTTCATTTATGGAATATTGGGGATAAGACTTGACTTGAATTAACATCACTGAAAAGTGAGTTGTATCCTGACCACACCAGGACTTCTGTACCCTTTCCAGTGCTCCTGACGCCAGTCTGCATTTCTGCCCAAGTTGTTGGTTGGAGATCTACTCAAACTACAGCCAATAAGTCATGCAAAATCTTGCATCCTGACTCGATTGGAATCTCATCGTCAGCAAACAAATCAAAATTTGGGTAAACGGGTCTGGCAGGCTTCAAAGGAGGCATAGGGCATTCCAGGAGACTTAAAACTGATTCAGGAAGTTCTTTATCGAGCGACTCTGATCTGGGGTGTCGACTATCAAGTCTGCTATCTTATCTTCTGGGTGAATCCTTTGGTAAGTGGTCATTGCTGTTCCATGAAAAGAGCGTTTTCCATTGGGGATGTCCTTAGAAAAGTCGACGATGTCGATGGCAAAGAAGACATGCCTCCCCATCACTATGTCTGGAGGTAGATATACGTTCGAGAACACTTGATTCAATCCACGCCTCCACTCTAAGGATTCTGTTGTAATCAACCGACAGACCAAACCCGTGCAGCAAACTTATCAATTCTTTACTTCTGACGGTCTGGTGGACAGGTAGGCCTACAGCTAACTTCTGGGGCATTTCAGCTGACAACTAAACAGTTTTTGACGTCTTGCACTTAACCTGTTGCTCAGTCAGACACATAGAAACGGTGCTTTGAGTAAGACTCATTGCACGTTTATGCACCTCATTGGACTTCTTTTCCACTGAAAGCGAATTGCTGCAGTTTCATCGCAGAAAAAGCAAACCTCCTTATTGTAAGGGGATGTTTTTGATCGAGTCAACTTAGGCCCTTCTACATCCACATCTCGGTGCTTTCGTCTTGACTCATCTGGACCAGCCAACTGCCTTTCATACCTTTGGGGTTGAAAACGGAATATTGATTACTAAAAAGCAAAACTGTGCAGTAACACGGAAAAGTTGACACTAGGTGTCTTTTATTTTATGTGGAAAAAGCGAGGAGCCTAATCATTTTCAGTAAGGAGTACAAAAGAAAATCAAGTGTTTAGCCCAAAAGGATCAAAGGTATGTGTTGGAGAAAACCTGTTAATTGAAAATTTGAGTGATGTCAGGATTTCAATTCCCCCGTTGTACAAAAATCTCAATCATTCACTTTGATAAATGAGTTTTCCGTAGTTTTTGAACTCGTAACTTTCAGAGTTCTTAGCGCATGCTTTTATCTTTTTTTATAAAAAAATGATGGTTCTAGAGGATTGTTTTGAAGAAATTTCAAAAGTAATTTTAAAAAAATTGTCCACGGGTTATTTTTGGTACTTCGCGAGCTATATTTTTATGAAATTAATTTGTGCTACTGACACTTGGTCTTTTTGCTTGTGTCCATTTTCTCTTAAAAGTTAACTTCCTGAGACGTTCTGGAAGGAACATTGTGTTCAGTTAAAACCATAACAGGAAATCATTGCACTTTTATCAAGGTGGGATGCATTCTTTAGAAAATAATCACAGGAACGGAGGAGACTTTTTTCTTCAGATCTACTATAATATGAGCCAGCCTCTCAGCTCGAAATTGAACAATCATGCAAAGCCGGCATACACATGGCATAGCACTGCTGTCAATGCAGTATAGTACTATTTATCACTCCTTCTTTCGCATGCCTTCTGCTTGTCTTTTTGACTTTCCTCAACTTGTCCATTAACTCGTTTACTCTCTTTCACTTCTTATCACTATCTTCTGTTAATCTAAATACAAAAAAGAAAGCAAAGTGAGGAAAAGTTATAGCCTCTGTTGCACACAGACTACGAGTTCTCTATAGTGGTCTCGAGTGACAAGTAGAACATCTATAGCCTGTTCCCGGCATTCACTATCTGAATGCTCGGAACAGGTTAACCAACATCAAGCTTGGCCAGCTATTCTGAACAGTCAGTAGTGAAAAAAGATGATAAAAATTTTCCTGAGTTGGATGCTAGATTGGTCAGCAAAAATGGTAAAAGTACGTTACAACAGACTTATGGTGGGAATATAGATAGAGTTCCAGTAAGGGAACCTACTCGTAACTCTGCCAGTGGCTAATAACATTGCATACGATGTATGTAGCACTAAGCGATACGACAGCAAAAACCAAACGGCGACCAAGATTAAAAGGGAAACTAATGTTACATAGGCAACAGATTTCGACCACTACTAAATAACGAAGTACAAAAAAAGATTGGAGTGCTGTTGGTGGTTTTGCGTGAACTTGCTAAACTTAGGTTACATGTACATACTTGCTCAAGTTTTAGCGTAAGATCTTCATTTCGCTGCTGTAACCGTGATATTTCGTCAGCCATCTGCTTCACAACAGAACAGAAAAGTAAGGAAACAATCTGATACTTGTGACCCTCAAAGCGTAATCATGTTGAACAATAAATCCTAATCACCTCGATTACAGTATATAAAAGCTAGTATGACGAATGTATCAGTCTAATTAACGTAAATGAGTACGAGTAGTAAATATCTTTCAATTCAGGTGCAAATAGGTATTGTATGCAGAGCAACTAATTCCCATCCTAAAAAATGGCGTAAAGTCTTTTCTTTGAAAAATGGGAATCACCTCATTCCTTCCCCCCTCCAAATGTCGGAACAATGAGGATTCTTTAAATTTGACAATTAGCGGCTTCAGAATGACTGTTTACATGATTGTACCATGACTGCTGAAGCTTTATGTCTTTATAATTATCTTCTGTTGCCCTCTTGGCGGTTTAGTCTATTGTTACCCTCTAGAAGTCAATAAAGTTGGAATTAATTCAATGAATTTCAGTTGTTTAACTCGAGAAAATGGAGTAAAATACAGAACAAAAATATAACATAACATTAAAAACAAACTCGTTCTTTTTTTAACTTGTCAAACGTTTTCCTGGCAAGCAAATCGGATAGAAGTTGTTGCTGCTGAGCTTCTGTCTTCTTGTAAAGGGCTAAAAAGTCACTCTGCATGACTTTTTTCTCGCGGCCTAATTTCACCACCAGGTCAAAACATCGCTTAGACAACTTAGCCGCCATCAGGTAATGCGTCGTTGAGTGCTATTAAGGAAACATGTTTCAGAACGTACAGTAAGAGGTGTCACTGATAATTTGCACTATATAATGTCTATAATAAAATTCTACACCTATTTGAGACTGAGCTGCTGCTTCCATAGATAACCGAGCAACACCAGTTAAAGCCAATGAAATCCGTCGTTCTGTTTTACAACACCGAAAATTTCACTGAGAAGAGTAAGAAAACAAAGCTATATGCAAAAAGGGGCTCCTTGTACCAATCGTAGCTGTCGGATATTGACAAATAAACTCTGTGTTTCAGAGTTTATGCTCGGCTCTTGGCTTAAGACTTAAGTAAAGAATGTCACTGGAATTGACTTTCACAGTACAGAAAAAGAACAAGTTTATATTAGTGGGAAAGAAAGGGGAAAAATGACTTACCAGCTTCCATGTCTTAGAAACTGACTTCCGCCATTCGGTATAGACTCTTGGTTCAACATCTAGAGGCTCATCAGACTCCTTTAAGTGTGCCTTTTGAAACAGCTGTTGGTGTATGCCCCACTTGAATAGTTTCTATGAAGTCGGGTTGCTGTTCAGGGTTTGATTCCTTGGCTGCAGAGTTAATGGTGTCTTGAGGTACTTTGGGTGCCAGCTCTCACAAAAGGCTCGAATTAGGTTGAGGCACAGATGATGAGAGAGTTTAAATGAACACTAGCAGGCATCATGATCAGCATTGTGTTTCTGTCTGTTGGTTGAGCGGTGGCCGGAAGGTTTGTGAAGGTTGAAGGCGAAAAAATGTGATGTGAATCGCTACTTGGGAAACTAAAAGAAGGCATGTGAGCTTCATTAGTGGTTCCAACTAAGAGACAAAGGCGATGTATCGCTTTGTCCTTCTGTGTTCATTGTCTTCAAACTGTGTTTGCCAACCACTGCTGTATTAAGACAGCTTACGAAGTGGGTGTTTCTTGCCTGTACCACAGGCTATAAATACGGCATTTCTCCTGACGATGGATTCTTGATTAGAGAAATTGTATAGTGTCAGCTATGCATTTGTAAATTCAGCTGACAATAAACTTACCCCCATAATATTGGTGGCAGAAAAGAATTCGATCTGGTACTCCACCATGCCAAAAGGCATTCTGTTTATGGGAAATAGGCTGTCATTTGATCCTGGTCTGTTTGATGCGATGCACAGGGCAAACTTGTAGATCAAATTATTTTTGCTATTATCTTACAATCTCTTCATTGCATGCATTGCAAGTTCTGCAAAGTTTGCAGGATTGGAGTTTGTTCCATTTTGTAAAACAAGTTCCAGAAAGGCAAGATTAGCAAGCTCTACCAACTCTGCACTTTCCAACCCAGCCATTAAGGATTTCAGATTCATTGGATTTTTTGACTCAGCTACATCATGTATTTCACTTTGTGCCCCAGAAGGGGTTTGGGTCACTTTGTCTACAACTTTTACTGGCGTTTTTTTCTCACTGTCTCTACTCTGTTCCATTTCCTCTTAGTAGTTGCTCAGTGTCAGATTGTAATGCTCCTCTGCTGCGTCTAATGTTCTAAAATTTGCCTTCACATGATTCAGCAATCTAGCCCGCACTCTTGTGTCTAGAGAAGGTCATTACACAAAATCATTACCAAGATAGATCCATGAGACTGCCATTTAACGTATATGTTGTAGTTAATTTTTTAATCTCAGGTAATTGTAATCTTTCTTTTCTTTCAACTTCATTAGCGTACATTACCATAACCAAGAACAAATAACAACAAAAGTTACCTGAGATAAAAAATTAACTACAACATCTGTTCTAACAGACAAGACATTGTTACAATATATGCAAGTACTGTAGATAAACTTCTATTATCAAAAATGTAACGAAGGCATTTGCTGCGAACAGGTGCATCAAGGCTGGAAGAATAAGTGACATACTTTTCAGTGTACATCAGAAACAAGAGGCGAAATGTTGTGAACTTTTCAAAAAAGATTTATCTATAGTTCAAAGTATTAGTTTTGTGAACTTATCAGAAAAATCACAGGAAGCTTGAAAGACTTCTGATTAGGACACAGACAATTTGCCACTACAAGAGTGAATATTAAAAATAAAGTTATTCCACTCACTGGAAAGAAATACACTGGAGGAAGTGCTTGGTTGTATATGCTTGGCAGCATCTGCCCAGAAAGTATGACCTGGACAGAATGCAGGCCATACGCATTCGGTCACACTCAGGCCATATTTTGCATCCATTTACACTAGCCCAACAAATTCCACCAAGGCCCTTTCCTCATAAAATGTCCACCTGTGCAACCCCACAGGTGATTTAATGGCCGACATAACCAGAGGTGATTTTTTTATGCCCGAGCTGATAACCAAGGAAAAGATAACAAATAAGCTACATGTATGCCACTGTGCTGACCCAGAAGACCAATTGATTTTCCTTGAAGAATAAAAAAGCTCAATTGCATATTTATAGCAAAAAATACAAGTCAATTTCCAAGCCAGACTGTTTCCAAGTTAAAACAGAATACAATAACACAGGAATAAATAAATTTTAAATAACATTAAAAAAGGAAAGACACTTTGTAAGTTGAAACTACGAAAGAACTCAGATCAACTTCTCCGCATTTAAGAATGCACAAGGTTGAATGACACAAGGAACAATAACAATAAGCTGAGCCATGTCCAGCCCTGGCCATGAAATCCAGAGTTTCTTCACTTCTTACTTAGTTCCACACTTCTCAGAGGTGTGGAAGTGTGGAGTAGTCTGAAAAAGTTAGGATATTGTCGCACCTTTCCCCCAGTCATGAACCTCTTTTTATTCTTTACTTAGTTCCACACTTCTCAGAGGTGTGGAAGTGTGGAATAGTCTGACAAAGCAAGGATATTGTCGCACTTTTCCCCCAGTCATGAACCTTGTGTCATTCTTTACTTAGTTCCACACTTCTCAGAGGTATGGAAGTGTGGAATAGTCTGACAAAGTAAGGATATTGTCGCACTTTTCCCCCAGTCATGAACCTCTTGTCATTCACACTTCTCAGAGGTGTGGAAGTGTGAAAAAGTCTGACAAAGTTAGGATAACGTCACACTTGTCCCATAGTCATGAACCCTTTGACATTCTTTACTTAGTTCTACACTTCTCAGAGGTGTGGGAGTGTGGAAAAGTCTGACAAAGTCAGGATAATGTCACACTTTTCCCCTGGTCACAAAACCTCTGTCGTTCTTTACTTAGTTCCACACTTCTCAGAGGTATGGAAGTGTGGAATAGTCTGACAAGTAAGGATATTGTCGCACTTTTCCCCTAGTCATGAACCTTTTGTCATTCGTTACTTAATTCCACCTTTCTCAGAGGTGTGGAAGTGTGAAAAAGTCTGACAAAGTTAGGATGTCACACTTTTCCCATAGTCATGAACTCTTTGTAATTCTTTACTAAGTTCTACACTTCTCAGAGGTGTGGAAGTGTGGAAAAGTCTGAAAAAGTCCGGATAATGTCACACTTTTCCCCTTGTCACGAAACCTCTGTCGTTTTTTACTTAGTTCCACACTTCTCAGAGGTGTGGAAGTGTGGAAAAGTCTGACAAAGTAAGGACAATGTCACACTTTTCCCCTGGTCACGAAATCTCTGTTGTTCTTTACTTAGTTCCACACTTCTCAGAGGTGTGGAAGTGTGGAAAACTCTGACAAAGTTAGGATGTCACACTTTTCCCATAGTCACGATCCCTTTGTCATTCTTTACTTAGTTCTACACTTCTCAGAAGTGTAGAAGTGTGGAATTGTCCGACAAAGTAAGGATAATCTCACGACCCTTTGTCATTCTTTACTTAGTTGTACACTTCTCAGAGGTGTGGAAGTGTGGAAAAGTCTAACGAAGTAAGGATAATGTCACGCTTTTCCCCCAGCCACAAACCCTTTTGTCATTCTTTACTTAGTTCCATTCTTCTCTGAAGCCTTCTACAGTGTACAAGTGTGGAATTGTTTGACAAGTTGACTTTAATGTCGCACTTTCCCTGAGTCACGAGAACACGAGAAGCTAGTGCGCTTTATGAGCACTTGGTTTTATTTCTGTATCATTTTTTACATTTTTCCTTGAGAACTATTGTTATATTGAATGGAAGATACAACCATTGTTTCAATGCCAGCTGTTCAAAGAAACTTAAAGTTACAAAAGCCAATCTCCAACCAATCCTTCTTCCTTATCAGTATGCGTCAACTTTGATCATTGTTCGATCCAGCCGTACATCCACTGTTTCGTAGTTTTTCCTCTTCGCTAAAATTATGTAGATGCTGAACATAAATCATGAAAAAGACAAAGTGTCCTCTGTTCAATTTTCTTGGATATTTTGACCGCCAAGAGAAGGTCTGCTCGCAAACTTCTGTGTCAACCTATAGGTTAACATCAAGGAGGTCAGATGACAACATCAAGCACGTATGTATCGCTTCATGATACTCTAGGCCAATAAGTCACAATTATTACTTTATACAGTATGCTATATATTCTTAGACAAATTTACGTCATGCACGGGATGAAGGAATAGAACAATAACAATTGATCTGAGCATTTATAAACTTTATCAAGTTGACCTTAGCGCAAGGAAAATAGAACACAGATACTCTGCGTTCTTTTCTGCCTATTTTTAGCGTTGTCACGATCTTAAGAGATCTATTCCTACTCAATGTTGTACCAAAATTCAAATCTCCCACGGTTAAGATTCTTTGTGTATTGTATTTACATTATAATGCAGCATTCAGATTTAAATGATATGAAAATTCCTAAAACAAAACGTGTGATTCCCAAAGGGTTTGAATTGGGTACAATTGAGTCAGGGGCACCCAACGAAAATATAGTTCAAAACCACTTAGACAGCATTGTTAAACGTATTTTATAATTAAACGGTAAATATAGGCATATTTTTACCCCCTAAAAATGTTTTGTCTGTTCGGATTTCCTAGCTGAAAGTCTAGTGATCCGAAAATTATAGGGATCAAAACTTACCTTTTCGAGTCAGAAAAAAGGCTCCCGAAACTTCTAGGTGACCTTTTTAGGGTTAAAATCCGTAAAAAATGAGCAGTTATGCCATTTTTTGATATTCGAAAATCCAAGGAGAGGCAAACAAGGAAGAAATCTTACAGCAAATGTTCCTAAAATTCTAGATCTCAAGTCGTGTTCCAAACAGATATTTTCCGAAAACTGACGTTTGGGTGCCTCTTATTGAGTTAGCCGAATAGGTCTCTAGGAAGGAAGAAAACCCAGAATAAGACGCCTCATATATGGCTCATTAAGACAAAAAATTTCCAACATAAAAATCCATAGATAAGATGACGTTATTGAGGTTTCCGTTAAAAAATAAATATATAAATAAATTAAGATAAAAGACTGACGAGGACTTCGTGACAGAGAAAACGTAGGTTTTTTGTTTTTTTGTTTATGGTCAGGTATCCTTATTCAAAAAGATGGCAGTGAAACAAGGCTAATATCTTCTATCTTCTAGTCACAGAATTGTTGTCTAAACGTAACAATAGCATTTAAAAAGATTGTAAAAATTAATGAGTTGCAGACATAAAACCAACAAACAGTCCCACTGCGCTTTATTCTCATTTCATACATAGGAGTGTAACTAAGGAAAGAATGTCACGGGATTCGTGACTGGGGGAAAAGTGCGAAAATATCCTGACTCTGTCAGACTATTTCATTCTTCCACACCTCTGAGAAGTGAAGAACTAAGTAGAGAATGACAGAAGTTTCACGACCAGGGGAAAAGTGTGACATTATCCTTACTTTGTCAGACTTTTTCACACTTCCACACCTCTGAGAAGTGTGACACTAAGAAAAGAATGACAGAGGTTTTGTGACCAGGAGAAAAGTGTGACATTATCCTGAATTTGTCAGACTTTTCCACACTTCCACACCTCTGAGAAGTGTGGAACTAAGTAAAGAATGACAGAGGTTTCGTGACCAGGGGAAAAGTGTGACAGTATCCTGACTTTGTCAGAGTTTTCCACTCTTCCACACCTCTGAGAAGAGTAGAACTAAGTAAAGAATGTCAGAGGTATCACGACAAGGGGAAAAGTGTGACATTATCCTTACCTTGTCAGACTTTTCCACACTTCCACACCTCTAAGAAGTGTGGAACTAAGTAAAGAATGACAGAGCTTTCGTGACTAGGGGAAACGTGTGACATTATCTTTACTTTGTCAGACTTTTCCACACTTCCACACCTCTAAGAAGTGTGGAACTAAGTAAAGAATGACAGAGGGATCGTGACTAGGGAAAAAGTGATACATTATCCTGACTTTGTCAGACTATTCCACACTTCTACACTTTTGAGAAGTATGGAACTTGGGATGAGAAAGGAAACTAGGGTTATTTCACACTTCCACACCTCAGAGAAGTGTAGAACTAAGGATGAAACAGGAAAGTAGGGATCTTGTGGCCAGCGCTGAACATTTGTGAATGTTTACTGGCGGTTCTAGATTCTCTAGATTCTCTACATTCTCTGATGAAAAGTCCAGAGGTCCTCTGATGTTTCGTCTCGAATCTCGTGCACGCTTCTCAGTAGGTTTGTTTGGCGTGATACCATTTGCTACGTGGCTCCTTTTTTTGGAGTCCATTGTCCTATGAGATTCGCAGTAAAATACCGCATTATTCACCGCTCCTTGAACGTATTCATTACAAAAAACAGTGAAAATCCGTTCAAACAAATCCATTTTGAAAGTAAAAAATGATTGCTATGGTAAGACGCTTTCGAAAGCGCTCAACCGATTGAAGCCTTCAGCAGACTTAGCATATATTCCCGCACGTGGTATTGAAATGTGTCTGAGGATACAAAACTTCAGTGATTTTTGGCCGCTTTAAAAGTCCTTAAAATCTCTTCTTTGCTTGTACAATTATCAGGACTTCTTTTCGCTAGTGTGAAGCCCATATTAGGAAAAGATCATCAAATAAACCAACAAAATGTGAATATTCATGACCTATCTGCGGCTCATTGAACACTTTGTTATGCGAAGGCTCCGTAAAACAATCAAATCAAAGGTTTCTATATGGATGTTACGTTATTGATCAATTGGATATCAGAGAAATCATGTCAAATAACAAAATAATGCAACTTTCTTACCTTTTAAGGGAACAGAAAATTAAACAGGCTGGCGAGAAAACGGCGTTATTTCATGCTGGAATCCGCCATAACTGCGAAGGTGCGTGATGCGCCGAGAAAATTGCATCATGGGATACTATTCGCTCCTCCTCTGAGTGGGTCTCAAGTGAGAGCGGATGTTGCAGTTGCATAAAGGACAAAGTCCTCCTGCTAAAACTTGAACGAAAGTAAAAATACTGTGACAAAAAAAACTTCGTTCTGATTCACATTATGAGCACTCAAACTACTGGAATCCGTTAGAATCACCAATTTTTCATAAGTACTTCATCTGAATGAATTATATTTCGTACCCTGTGTAGGTTTTTGCATTTTAAATATATTCTTTGGAAAAGCGTACTCGGCAACCTGCTAGTGAATTTTCTAGTAGTTTTTATAATTCAACTCTCTCATACAGTCACATAGCTTTCTTGAATACAATACCTTAAATTGAAAACCTTAAAAAGCCAGGCAAAGAAGTTAGGTAAGTTAACTGTTTTGGAAATGTAGTGAAAGTAAATGTAGTTGTGACTTTTTGCAAACGTTTTTTGTGGGATATAAACACACCTATCAGCTATAATTAATCTTAATATTAGGTTTTAGAACAAAAGGTGAACCATAAACAGCGCTGTGGTTTAAACAAATTTTTCATTAATAACTCCGTCATGTACCGATTTCAAGACATCTGTATTTTACTGAGTGTGTTGGTGTGTGTGTAGTTTTTTTTGTGCCGTATGCGTGCCTGTGTATGTTTTCGGTTACTATCAGACCCCACAGATGTTTTGTTACTAAGAATGTTTTGTGCTTTCTTCAGTGTTTCTTTTTCGGAAATAAGAATATCCTTTACATATTATGAGATGTGATTGGTCATTCTGGCTAATGATAGTGGATAACATATACACGTTATTTGGCATTATCCAGTTATTGAGTAGCAAACCTCTCATTGGGTGTAACAGACCTCAAGTTGAATAATGTTAGTGGGACTCTGCACTTCAAAAAATCCTTGTATGCTATTGGCTCTAACAGTCAATAATTGTCAATAATGAATAACAACTTTTAGTGCCAATTATTTTGAAAAAGTACCAATTAATTTGAAATAGTGTTAAAAATAAATTGTGGTTGTGAAACACTCAAACAGATGTCAAGAAAAGGTGGAGATTTCGCCGAATACCAAATTCTTTCCTCCTAAATTCCACTCAGGATTTACATTGGGATGTTCCTTTTTTAACCTCACCTCAGAGGATGGCTTATTTGTAAACTTACAAAGTAAAAGAAAAAGCAAACTTACTTAGCATTGTAGCATTTGCTTGTGTAGCTTGTGTAGATCTTGTAGATTGTTTTGGTTCATGGTTTTTGAAGCTGATGTCCTGCTCCATTTCGTTGAGAACCTCCAATAATTTCATTTGGTAACCTATTAGCTCCAATCCACAGGCTTTCATTTGGTCTTCGGTGTCTCTATTTGCTAGAAAAAGGAGCACTTTTCCAGTGATTGTTTTGCTCTGTTGGAAGAAGAAAAGTACGGAAAATTTGCTCGATTTTTTGGGCATCACACGGTCGGATCTGACAGAAAATGACAATGGTTATAATTTTTCGAGGAAACTCAATTACTTAAACATTTAACATTACCTTATTTTCACCGCACCAGAAAGAAGAAAAAAAACATTGAGGAGCATTATACTCAAAATCTTCAAAGAGACTATCTTGTTAAATTGAAATTTCAATTTCGTTTCTCTTTAACAAACTTGAACACAGGTCAGTACAGTTTAACCACAGCGAACTACATGGAATACACTTCCCTCGGGATGCTTTAATTTCAGTGATTAAAGGTCTTCGACTTCATATTAACCTTGTCCTCAAAGCTAATCCTGAAACTTGACACAGTGATTACAAGTGATGTGTGGTGATTGGTAAAAAAAACTGATGCAAAACAAACAAAACCTCAGCCTGAATTTCATCTGATTGCTTCGAGTCATTTTCGCTTCTCAGCAACATCTGAATCAACCAGTCGTTAATGCCGTCCAGTGATGTCACTGCTACCCGAAAACCGGGTAGTGATTTTGATTGTTTGATTGTCTAAACATTCACATAATTATGTATAATTATGAGGAATTTTAGTGGGATTGTCACTTGATATTCAGCAGATCGGATCAGTGGCATACTTGCGTGGAGTTTAAACATTTCGATAATCTTTATCATAAACAGCAAAATTGCTAAATTGAACTACGAATGAAGAATCATTGCTGAGAGTCGGTAGGTTTTTCATGTAGAGCCGCTTTTTGGTTTCCGCAGTGATTTTGTTTATGCAAAGTTTCTGAGACCAATGTCATGCTGTTATTTGACCTTCTAGCTATTTTTGTTCACCATCAAGTGTAATGATTCTGTTAGCCTTTCTTTCTTTTTTCCTTGTTTCTTCGTTAAGGACCAAATAGCTTCTTTTCAATTAAAGGAAATTGTTGTGTTATTGAACTAAGTGTTCCTTGTACGTATTTGTTTCATTGCATGATTGCGACCGAGTTTGAATTACAACCAGTTCAGAGTACTGCTTGCAGTTGATAGTTTGAAAATTAAACATGAATTACGATCAAAAAGAGTAAAGCAATTCTGTCAGTTGTTCTGTATCATGTAGACATTTCCAAACGGTATTTCTCGGTTTGCCACTTGGAAAGCGTGTTGTACTTTTTGCATGAATTAACGCAAAGGAGTAGTGACAGCATTTATGGCAGGTTGATTCAGACGTTACTGAGGGAGTAATAATGACTCGAAGTAATCTGATGAAATTCAGGCTAACAAAACTTCTGTTTAAGTAACCCTCTCCTTCCTGTTCATCCTGTTTTCCTTTGTTGTTTCTTGCTCTCCTCTTCGCCACTGGTTGCTAATTTGGTGTCTATTATCTCTTGCTCCCTATCGTTCATTCTCCAGTTCCTCTTCAGTGAAATTCTGTCGCCTTTCCCTTTCTCTTTCTTGCTCTCTCTCCCATTCCTCATCAGTAAAATTGCATCTCCTTTCTCTGTTTCTTTCTTGTTCTCTCTCGCATTGCTCCTCAGTGCAGTTTCATCTCCTATCTCTAGCTCACTGCCGCTCTCTCTCATTGAGATTGGCTTGCTTGCTGCCTACTTTCTCTTTTTCTCTACCTCTCTCTCTCTTTATACTCCAAACTATAGGACATAATCAATAAAACATTTAGAAAATGCGCATGTAAAAACGATTTCCGTGATTTAACTTCACTGAACTTCCAAGTTGTTTTTGTTCACAAAAAGACTGACTGCTATTCTCCAAAGTAGATGAATGTGAAACGGCCGGAGAATGCCTTGTTTCTAAGGCAGTGTAATCAACCAGAGGAGGCACACAACATTCATGTTGAGACCACCATGTTGTAGAATTAACCGCAGAACAGGTTAAACAAAATCAAGTAGAAAATAATTTACAATATGCCCCCTAAGTGCACCATTTAGTAACTATGAATCACGTGTTGAACCTCTATTATGCAATGCTGAGGAGTGACCAATGATAAAACGAAAATTGAAGTGTTCTCCAAAATAAACAAATAACAAGTCAGTTCCACAGTAGCTCGACTTTACTTGGATTAAGACTGATATATAATAATAATAATAATAATAATCAGTTTATTAAACCCTTTGGTAGTGTATAACACTAAATTACAAGGGAGGTCAAGAATACGCAGAACACATAATTACACATGGCACAGAGGCCTGGTGGGAGGCAAAACGTAGAGACGCTTGCTTGCTCTCTTTACAATATAGTCGCAGTAAATAGACCACGATAAATTGTGCGACAGATGGACACCGAGCAACTTATAAGATGGCACCTGCTCTATAATACTGCCCGACATCTGTAAGGGAGGTAGGTTGGAGGGCTTATACTGTAAGAAATCTATGCGTAATTCTTTACATTCGGATGGATTTAGCTTCATACCATGACTACTAGCATAAGAACAAATATCCCTAGCTACAAAGGGCAGCATGCTGGTTTAACATGTAGGAATAATCTCTAAGACTGAGAGATCGTCCACATACTTAACTCTAGTTTCCAGTCCTTCACTAGGTTGCAAACTGATTGAGGATTGCAAACAACAGGGGGGCTAGTCTTGTCCCCTGAGGGATACCTCCTTTGGAATAACGCTGTTTGACAAAGCACTACCGATTTTGACTTGTTGCGACCTTCCCGTCAAGAAGGCCCCAATCCATCTCATTAAGGCCTCATGCACCCCCAAAGCGTGAAGCTCAGATACCAAAACAGAATGATCCACCAGGTCAAATCCTTTGCTAAAGTTGGTAAACAAGATGAGAGCATAGCACTGGCTGTTGTGAAGCGCTTCTAGGATACAGTGAAGCAAGTAAACGAGCGCATGCGTAGTAGATATGCCTGGGAGTGCAAACTGTTTTAGATCAATTTTATCGATGACTTGATTAAATAGGGGGGCTAACATGAAACCCTCAAATATTTTAGCCATTTGAGAAGTTAAAGTAATTGGCCTTAGATCGTTCTTAATACATCTAGGGGCGTGACTACAGACTCCTTGATCTGATAAGGGATGAATCCTTGCACTAACGAGGCATT